TGCTTGTAAGGAGGTAACTGCTGTGAGGCAGAGGCCAAAGGGTGGGGGCAAGTGGGTGGGCGGGGCTACATTCGGTGTATAAGACGCACCTAAATTTTCACCCCCTTTTAGGGTGGGAAAAGGTGCATCTTACACTCCGAAAGTATGTATCTGCACATAGCCTATTGAGCCCTGATTATTGGTAGCCCTGCCCCCCTCCAGCAGCAGCTAATCATCCTTCAGCTTTATTTACATTCTTTGTTCCTTCAATTATAAAAATGTATTTAATCTTTTCTCAACTCATTGTAAAAGGATATGTTAACATCTATAGCTCCATAGAAATACATCTGCTAGAACTATGATAGCTTTAAGTCAAGCTAGTTATCTAGAATATACCAAGTGGTTTTCTACTGCCTTTTCTCAAGAGCTTTGTTCAACTTCCCCATCTAACTCGCAGCTTGAAATTCTTTGATAGTCTCCCATTCAAGTTTTGACTAGGCCAATCCTGACTATTTTGTCCCACATGACAAAGAGTATAAAATTAGCTATATTATACCAAGTTTTGTACTCCATGATGTTATAGAAACAGCAAGGAAATTTTCCAAATTCATTAGAAACAAAATGTATAATTATATCACTTCATTTGAGGTTCCATTATAACATTGCTAAAGCCATTGAGTCTAATTATTAAAATCCAGTATTTAAATTTATGTTCTTATCAAGCAGCTCTTTTTGACTGAAATAAAAATAGGTGTACGCTATGTAAGTGTACAGTCACATCAGCAATATTTAACATTACATTGTAAAATGAAAAGCTGATTTCAAGTACAGATCACTACAATATATGTCAATCTGTGCTGGCCTGCTACAGGAAATAGGAATAGTAATATATTGGCCTTCTTTCTGCTTTTCTCGTTGCTTTTATTTTGTTTGTCCTAATGAATGCCATATAGGTAACAATAGCATTTAGGTTTATATACCACCCCATAGTGCTTTATAGCACTCTCTGGGCAGTTTCCAATGTAAGCATTATTTGCCCCGTTAGGATTGAACTCCAGGCTGTGGGCAGAGTTTGCCTGCAATACTTTAACCACTGTGCCACCAGGGCTACAGGTAGTCCTCAACTTATGACCACAGTATAGCCTGAAAATTTGGCCATAAGTCTTTGTGGTTGTAAGTTGAGTCACTATGGGGCTGGACTCAATTTTATGACTCTTTTTATGATGACTGTTAATCAAGTCACCATAGTCGTTAACGAATCACATAATCAAAATCCAGCTAACCCAATCGGTGCTTTTTGCAGGAAAAAATAAGAAAAATGTGATCATGTAACAGCACATACCGCAAACGGTTGTAAATGGAAACTGGTTGACAATTGCCCAAAGTGCGATCCTGTGACCGCAAGGGGTGTATGACAGTCACAATTTTGAGGATGGGTAACTTTTTCCAAGGCCATTGCAATTTTGAACAGTTATTCAGAATTACCTGTATTTTATTTAAATTTCATCCTTCAGGATGCTAACTTCATTCCTTTACTTTATCTCTGCAGAACAAAATCTCAGAAGAAAAAATTTGAAGAGGAATTAAATGAAAGGATGATTCAAGCAATTGATGGAATAAATGCTCAAAAGTATGTTTGCCCACAAAGTTGTTGTTTGTACCACTGCTGTTCATATTATGGAAGTAAGCATTGAAGCTCCTTGAGAAATCTGAAGGCAGAATTTTTTGAACTGGAGTTAGAGGAGCCTATTTCAAAATAGGAATCTGACTGTTACCTTTCTTCCCAGATTATATGATAATACAGAACAGAAAAATATAAGATGTTCTATGACTTAACTGTCTGTTGGACAAGAAATCAATATTTTGCTGATCTACTGGAATTTAGTGACCAACATTTTATTCAAAAATAGATGAGAAGAACTGAATATCTATTCTGATCACATTAGCTCTGAAATCTGCACAAAGTTATATTTACATTCCTTCCCTTCCTTTAGCAGGATTCTAGGGTACTTATTGTTACATAGAACTGTGGATACAATACAAGACGTTATTTTGACTTGTGAGCCTCTATGTAGATCAGGGCTGTCAAACACCCGGCCCACGGGCCAGATGCATCACGCGCTGCCCACGCCCGGTTTAGTGAAGGGGAAAAAAATCCTGATACGTCATGTGACAACGCTGCGACGATGTGAGTTTGACACCCCTGATGGAGATCATGAAATTTACATATAAAAATTAATTATTGATGCTAAGTTAAATGCTTCTTATTACAATACATTATTCATCCCTTATTCACAAGGATGGCAGTCTAAAACTGCCACCAACTTTAGAAATCATCCTTACATTACATTTTTAGACTGGTACCATTTTAGAAGCCTGGACAATATAGATTGATGGAGATCTATGGTTCCTATTCACTGACCCCACTAAAGAAGAGAAATTGCTATTGAACTAGTATATTTCTATTACATAAATACATCCAACTGTTTGATTTCCTTTATGAACCAGGTTTATTTTTTCTTATCCAAGACTCCAGAAAAAATATTAGCAGCTTATGTATAATGCTGTTATGGTTCTTTTTCTTTTCTAGGCAGTGGCTTAAATCTGAGGATATTCAAAGAATATCATTGCTTTTCTACAATAAAATCTTAGAAAAAGAAGTGAGTTATATTTAAATTATAAATTCTATTTTACATATATTTCCCAAATTCTCTAGTCAATAAGAAAAAAGGATGTAGTTTATAGTTATTCATACCTGAAAATGTGTGACTTTTTTTAATGTTGTGGGAGATTAGATTCTTTATATATATATATAGTTTCATCTTTGATATAGAGTTGCATGAATTTGGGTTTGCACATGGGGAAAAAATTACAGAAAAAACACAGAAATCAAATAGGAAGAGGTGAAACTTTGGCTATATTTCTTGGCTATCAGAAAATGATGCATTTCCTGCATACTCTTCAATTTAACTATTACTTAAGTCAGAATTTTGCAAAAGAAAAAAAAGGATCTAATTAATAAAAGTAACTGAAATTGAATGATTTTAATGCTATAACAGCTTTTAGAGAAGTCCAATAGATCTAGAAAATCAAAGTATTTAGCATCATATTGATTATTAATAGGTACTGACCCTCTTTCAGAAATGAGCTGAATGATATCAGTGATTGAATGACAGCCACCTATGATATAGTTATCCTCAGTCCTCATTAACAATTCATCTAAAGTATCTTGGTTTATTCAGGAATAGGAATAATCATCCCAGAGTTTCAAAATCAATTTGTGTTACTCATTTTCATGTGTGGGAGGTTAATAGATCCTATGAACCCATTAAGCCTGCTTTTTTTCCTGAAAGATCAAGGTACAATTGATTGGAAAATTCCTGTATTGCAATCCATGGCAGTACTTTTGCTGCTCTTATGCATTTCAATATGGTTGTCTGTAGAAATTGTTCCATAATTCAAATAGCATGTATCCCAAAATGAACAATTTATGAGAGTTTCATTTCTGTGGAACATTTTTAAACTTTGTCAATATAGAAAATGTAATTAATAAAGAAGCTTCGTAATGCTTATTGATGCTTTGAAAAAGACATGTTGGCTCAGGTTCACCATACCAATGTAGCTTGTCATCAATCACAGTGAATTAATTGATAGAGGTCATCAAAGGCATGGAACTTGTTCAGGATTTTTTATGGATGGCTCTTCCCTCCTGGATTTCAGCAGTTGGAATTTTCAATTATGTGGCCTCTGGATATTGAAGTTTAATTTATCTATCATAGTTAATAACTCTGATCAACCATCATCTTTTAATTCTTCCAATGTTTTTGTTTAAAGCCATAAAGTTATCTAAATAAAGGATACCCTCATATCAGTAAATATTTTAAAATTCAATAGGTGTTATAACTTACTTGTAGTCATTTTTAATGAAGAAATATTTTGATATTTTAAAAATAATCTCTCATTTTCTTTTAGTATAGAGCAACAACCCTTCCTGCATTCAAGTACTATGTAACCTGTGCCTGTCTTATATTCTTCTGCATTTTTCTTGTGCAGATTCTAGTGCTACCAAAGTAAGTGAGTGATGTATACTGTTCTTTGCTTATATCCATGAATTGGACCTGTCTATAATCCCATCATACTGGCAGTTTTTTTTTAATACACTCTACTTTATGTCTAGTAAAAAGGTTTACTTTATGTTTATTTTGTCTTTCCCACCACCACCTTCCTTTGTTCCTCCTTTCTTCTCAGTTTGTCTTTCTTCAAAGGAAAATGATGCAAGCCATTGTGGCCATGACATGATCACAATTAGATTTGGTGCAAGACTATCAGAGACATCCTGACCATTTATTCCCTTGGATTATATATTTTTTAAAAACTTCAGCAAAGATGTAGCACTTCCCTTTTTCCACTTCCGCTTGGTGGGCATGTGATACTATTAACCTTGTGTTTCAAAAGTGCTTTTTCAAAAGGCAATTGGACTTAGTTTTTTTTCCCCCTTGATGATGTTTCACTTCTCATCCAAGAAGCTTCTTCAACTCTGACCAAATGGTGGAGGATGGCAAGATTTATAATCTTGTATATCCCATTTGGTCAGAGCTGAAGAAGCTTCTTGGATGAGAAGCGAAATGCCTTCAAGAAAAAAAAACTCCAGCTGCCTTTTGAAAATCACTTTTGGGACAACTATGGATGACTGAGAATCTCCATAGATGTTAATCTTTTGTCTCTTCAGCTGCTGTACAGCTAAAAGGTTTTGCTGATGATTCAGTCAGCAGATCTAGTCATAATCTATGGGTTTTGCACCTTTGTTTTCACATATTCATATTAATATAGTTACTAATAAAATTAATATCTTACAAATTCATTCTAAAACCTGCTGAAAGGCCAGTTCTAACTATAACCCTATAACAATAATTCTGGTAGTCTTTTTGGCTGAACATCAAGGTAGTACTGTCAAGAGTTTTATAGACAAGCAAGTAAGCAAGGAAACAAAATGTTTTAAATAATGCTGCAGTTTTACATACTTTTCATTGTTCTTGTTATTCTTTGGAGTTTAGGCTTCTTGCAAATACTTCTAGCCTCCCAGGTTAATTACTGGCAGCAAGGCAAGGAAACATAAAAATTAGTTTGATTCAAGTTTGAGTTCTGGTGAACCAGGTTGTAGTTTCTCAGTATCAGACAAAGTTAGTTCGGTGATGTCTTCTACTTCATTCACTTATGGCATCTTTCATCAATTTACTTTCTCAGTATCTTAATGTTCACAAATCTTTCTTTTTGCTAAATGCTAGCTGGGACTTTATGGGAGAAAATGTCCCCAAAGTCTGATCAAGGAATGGATTCACTGCATTGTCAAACTTATATTCACTTCAGAAGTTCAGAAGATTCTGAAATATTTTGTTTATTTTATATATTTCCTGATTCTCAACAACTCTGAGTGGCTCATAACTAAAATACTTATGGACATATATGGCCTATCAGGAAAATTGAATGATGGTGAAATATTCTAGGAATTTTTTTCATGAATTCTCCTTTCATATGAAAATTATTGAACCTGTTGATGATTATTTGTTGACTTTAACAAGGTCCTATATACAGTGATATTTGATTCTGACTCCATTGGGTGGTGAATCATCCCATTGTGCTTTATTTCTAGATGAAAGCACAAAAATCATTTTAAACATGAAATTGAACAGTCCTTTCATAATTCAATTTATTACTTTCTACATAGGAAACTTTCAGGGTATTGAGTTGAAGGTTGAAGCAGGATTTTCAGCACATTGAATTTTGAAAAGTCAACACTTAGTGTTCTGATTGTTTGAAAGCAAATGACATTTCCACAAGCTCTTTCTTTCTCTCTCTCACTTCCTCTCTCATTTTTATGCCACTCATTTATATGAGGGCTTTCTTTTTATTGCACCTGATAGAATGGAGAGCTACTGCAAATGTTTATATTAGAAAAAATGTTTTAACAATGAAACTCTTATGTGTTCCAAACCTCCGCTCTAATTGAAATCTTTTGAAAGTTTTATGAATGTACTTTCAAAATGGAAAGAACAGGCTCAGAAATTATCAAACTTAATCTAATGCTCTTAAAGATGAAAATTAGCTCTCTGTGATTTTCGTACAAGAATTTATCCCTGAATTTCTTTTTCATACACATACAATATAATTAAAGGCAAAAATATGCATTTAATACTGAATTTCTGAAATGAACAATTGACCACTATGGAATGGAACATCAACAGAATTGTTATGTAAATCCAACAACATCAGTAATTTTATCCCACCTCTTTTGGGGAGGGGGGTGTCTTCTCAAGATGGTGAACATATCTAAAACTCCTACCTCTGGTTTTTCCCATGACAGCAACAAATCTGGTGGGCTGAGGGAGAGTGACTGACCCAAAGTCACCCAGCTAGCTTTCATGCCTAAGGAAAGGCTAGAATTCAGTTTCCTGCTTTCTAGCCTAGAATCTTTACCATTACATCAAATTGGCTCTCTCACTACACCAAACTATATTTCATGACTTTTATGAAATAAACTGCCAGTGCTTCCCCATAAAATCTTTATGTTGATAGGTTTTTGTGAGGAAAAAAATGGTGTACTATGTATACCATCTTGAGCTTCTGAATGGAAAGAGAGATATAAATTAATAAATAATTAGAGTTGGTGAAAAAATATCCCTGAGAAAATAGTGGTTTTGTGTATCTATTGATAACTGTTGCTACAGTTAAAAGAGAGATATGTATAAGCTTCTGTGGCAGAGACATCTAGTCAGCACACATGTATTTATAAAATATATACCTACAAATTGCTCTAAAAAATTTACTGTTTACATGTATAGAGCATCACAGTGTGGTGTAGGGCTTAAGGTGTTAGACAAGGAGCAAGGAGGCTCCAAGTCATTCAGCAATAGAAGCCACTGAAACCTATTTGATCATATTGGGCTACTCAATATCATAAGGTTGCTGTTTCAGACAAAATTAGGGAGCATTATGAATGTCCCTGCGAGCTCCTGAGTAAAAGGCAGGATATGAAACTAATTAATACACAGTAGAAGCAGTTAATGCCAAACCTCTGCCTCTTTGAGTACAATTGTGCTGGGACACTGATAGTATTGATCAGATCACATGCTCATTATTTGTTAAAATAGGAGTATATATTCATTTCAGAGTGATTGTTTTATGCCTGAAATATAATTCCTGGGGGCACAGCCCTAGTTCTAAAAATTCCATTTGTTCCTACCGTATAATAACCAAATCTTTCCTGATATAAAAATATTTTTTCCATTAGTCCAGAAGAAGGAAGGCAATACAGGTGTTTTGCTTAGAATTTATTCCTATTACGTTCTAAGATATTGGTATTTTGTTGCTACGCTAAATTTTGACATTGTTTTTTACTCCCTGGTAGCAATCCCTTACTAAGACTAAAATTCTTCCTGAAATAGTAATTGACCTTTAATAAGTTTAATTGGCATTTTAATCATATTTCCCCATGGAAATGGGAATAACAAGAAATTAAAATATATTTTTCAGCTCTCTCTTTTAAAAACATCTAGACATTGGTTAAGGGAAGAGTTGTTCTTCATTTATTATCATATTTAAGAAATATAATATGTGCATAAATTGAAGAAAATCTCTACTTCTCTAAGGACTTGATCTGCACCAAATATGATAGTGACAGCCATGTTCCCAAGATGGGGACGGAAACTAGTTTGAATATTGAAAGAGTCTTACATGTGAGGAGGGTGTGGTACACTCCTTCATATTGCCTCCCCTAGTCTTAAACTAAACTTAAAACTCCTTTTTCTCTGGTGAACCAGGTCATTACCTCGGGAGAAGAGGGTCTGGGATGTTTTAAGATCTCAATGCAAAGATATTTTTAAAATCTCATCAGCATATGCCCTTTGGAAGTTCAAATGAATCCCTACTTCCTTATAGTCACTTTAGTTGAGAGATGTGGCCAAGGTAAAGAAAACAGCCATCATTTGTGTTATGTTTACATAGAATTGGTTTCTCTGGAAAAAGCCCCTTTTTTCTTGTTTTTCAGAAAATCTATACTTGGAATCTCCTTTGGAACTGCCTTTCTGGTACTCTCCTTCATTCTTTTCATCTGTTTTGCAGGACAGCTTTTGGTAAGTGTTCAATGCACACTCATACTGACTGCAAAAGGCAAATCTGTCAGCATAAATAATTTTTTTTATTTTTTTATTTATTTGTCAAGAACGTATTAGGTAATAAGTATAAACATGGATTGGATACATAAAATAGATACAAATAGAAGAAATATTAGGACAGGGACAGTAGGCATGCTGGTGCTCTTATGCATGCCCTTTACAGACCTCTTAGGAATGGGGTGAGGTCAACTGTAGACAGTCTTAGGTTAAAATTTTGGGGGTTTTGGGATGAAACCACAGTCAGGTAGTACATTCCAGCACTCTGTTGCTGAAGTCATATTTTCTGCAATCAAGTTTGGAGCAGTTCACTTTAAGTTTGTATCTATTTTGTACTCATGTATTGTTGTGGCTGAAGCTGAAGTAGTTGATCTAGACCTAGATTTGTAACAGCATTGTATAGGGTTGTATGGATGGGTTCAGTTGTACATTTGTGTATTGTCCAATTAATAAGAGGTAGGTTGAGGTCACCAAGAAAGATGAGAGGGTATGGGCAGGAAGCTGCCCACGTTAGTAGTGAAGTTAACTTGTTTGCATGTGTGATATCGTAGTCAGGGGCTCTGTAACATAGTAAGAAGCAAAGTGTGGTGTTTAAGGACAGTTCACAGACGATAGTTTCCGGAAGAGTGAGTTCATGTGCAACTTGAATATTTTTTATGTTTAGTGACTTTTTGTAGAAGACAGCTACTCCACCCCCTCTGCGGGTTTCGTGATTAGACCAGTAAATGTGAAATGTCTTACTGTGATAATGGAGTCAGGGAGGGATCCATTTAGCCATGTTTCACAGACAAATATGATGTCAAATGTATCAGTATTTAATAAGAGGAGGAGTCCGGGCATTTTGTTTACGATGCTTGAGGTCAGTAGTAGTTGGTATTGAGGAAGTAAGGGGCATGCATACCTAATTTTGGATGTTGGTTGGGTGGATGTCTTGGATGATGGATGGTTGGATGTTTTGGGTGATAGAGGGTTGGATGTTGGGCTATTGATTGTGGGTCTTACTTTTTATGCAATCAGCACAGTAGTCGATATATAGATTTGTGTCACCTAGGTCTTGGCATCTTTTGAGTTCTGCACGGAATTCACGGGAGCGGATCTGTTATAATAAAGATAGGTCAGGCCATGATTGATGTTTGCTGTGGTTGTGGTTGGATCTGCCAATTGAATTTATAGTGTAACTGAACTTTAGTTTGATGGCCTCATTTTTGCAGATGACTCTACAGAATCATGGGGCTACTGAGCCATCGCTGTTCTTATATTCTAGGCCATCTCTGGAGACTTCAATGACTTCGTTGGGAGAGATGGTTGGTGTGTGATGACTGCTAATGATGTTACAAACTTTTGTGATATCAGGTTCATTGGTGTCATCTAATCCAAATAAGATAGTGTTTTGACGTTTTTGTTCTTGCTCAATGGTATCTTTAATGAATATGGAGATGTTGTTTGGTTGGTTGGCAACTATTTGTGGTTTTGGTTGTGGTTTTTGGTTATGTGTAATTGGTTGTGGTTTGGTTGTGTGTAATTGGGCCCAAACATTCATTATTTCTTCAAGACTGCTTTCTCTGACCAAACAGCAAATTATCTTTCTCAGGTACTTAATTAAGAAAGGAGATCTTAGATGACTTACTCTCTTGCTGGAGGAGCTATCCTATTTGGGTTATCTAGTCTTGGCAACTTAGCTATTGAAATTTGATATTGTAAAATTTTAATGTCATCTATCATATATTTTTAGATTGCTATTTTTGTAACTGTTTTATCTTTTTCCCTTTTTCTTTTCTGTTTTGTTTGAAAAGGCCTTCGGGCTATTCAATAAACTATACTATACTATACTACTCTCTTGCTGTTTATTTATTTACATTTTATTTAGTTTTCTGAAATGCATTTAACTATATAGAGATATTGCTACACAACACCGAAAATGTAAGAAATTCAAATTGCAATTTGCCTTACCTAATTTATTTCATGGCATGTTACTAAATGTGATTTAACTTTTTGAAAAAGAATGCTAATTTTAAATCAATGCTGTGTGATGAAAACATGCTGATAAAAAATATTATGGCTAGGAGGGCTGTACAATGCTTTCAAGCAGCAGCATATTTTCCTGTAGGCTTCTGGAGAAAAGCAGAGTTCTCTTTAGGTGTTGTAAATAGATAAATATTACATTGCTATTTGCATATTCTCTGAAGCACCTTTTGGAGATCAAATCTGAAGTTCTATACAGCCCAAAATGATAGACTATTAGGTTTCCATGTGATGTCACAGATTGCTTTGAAACTGAATGATACTTGTTTTTAAACCTCCAGATTAAGATACTTAGCTCTATGCAACATGGTGCACAATGTTTTATTTTTCAACAAAAAAACCCAACGTCCTTGATACTAAGAATTAGTTTTAACTATTGTTGGATTAGTATTAGAAGTTATGTCTTCTCTCTTATAAAAACTAAATCAATATTCATGTACCTGTAATATGAAGCTAACTTGTAGAAGATTATTTAAGCAGATTCCATCTTAAAATATTGCTTACTGTTTTCCACAAAAAAGTCGAAGGGCTGAAATTAATGCTCCTTCTGCTTAAAAGAGCCACAGATATCGCCACTTGGCACAAGGGTCAAAGAGATTCTTGGCAATGAGGCTTGGCTTATATTCTCCACTTGGCACAAGGTCACAGAGATTCTTGGCAATGAGGCTTGGTTTATATTCTCCACCACCACTCTGTAATGTATCTCAAGAGTTTTGGGGACAATTGAAAATATTTGCCAGGACATATAGCTTGTTTAGGTACAATGATTTCTGAAATTTTTAGAGAAGAAAAACAGATTTGCTTTCTTGCAATAGAATCCAGTGGCATTCTATACAACCATTTTAAAAAGTTTATGTATCAATTAATGGCTGGAAAATGGAAACTGACATACCTGAATCAAATAAAATTGTTTGGCTTTCTCCTCTGTAGCTTCTGTTAGTCCTTACTGCATCTCCAAATTGAGCAAAAAGCAAAAGAGACACATGACAGGGAGCAATGCATTGAGGAGGAAAGATAAACCAAAACACAATGAAAATACAATAGTAATAGAAGAACTTTCCTAAGCCATATTAGGCAAAATAATTATGGAAGGAGATTAGTTTGGAATAAAAGTATAGTATTGGATGATTCTCTAGAAAAAAGTTTTTGTTTGTGTCTGATTTCTACTTTTTTCTGACCATACTAACATATACTGGTAGTTCCTTTTTTGTTCTGCAACCATCATATTATAAATAGGAAAAGATTTTTTTAGAAATTTTTACATGTACCAAAGAGCGTCATTTTGAATTCAAGATGGTTGAATATCATTACGAGCATCTTGGCTTCCCTAACAACACAATCCCTCTGTATAAATTACAATAATTGGAATCAGTGGAAGATATTTTTCTTTTATGGGAAATTAAAGTCTCTCTTAGTTGTCTGGCTTAACTACATTTTTGCAACTAACTGCAGTTAAAATTTTGAATACTAGAGATAATTTTTTTCCCTTAGAAACTATTTTTTTTTAATGTACTGCTGCTTACCAACCATAGTATGTCTTCTAAAACTTACATCTTGGAATGGCATCAGTACAAGGACTTAATGTTTCCTACTAATATTGCTGTCTTCCTAGCTGGACAATTTTCAAAGTAATTTTTTGGTTGAAATGACATAATAATGTCATATCAACTATGCCTTATTATGATCTTTTATGCCTTATATGGTCTTTGGCAAAGAAAGATAAAGTCTTCTGTAGGCTGAACTTGACTCTTGGTGATTTCATGGAATATGTCTTGCTCTTATGACAGTATGCAAGTAGCTTGCCATTGCCTTCTTCCATGCCTGTATTATGCTTATGGCTGATGAAAATGGATTGGATAAAACAGTCATAGTACGTTTGATGTTAGTGATTTCAACATAAGATAAACAGAATTGCTTTTTATAGCTGAAAGGTATTTCTTTAGATTTGTAATTTTACTTATTCCTAAGTAAGCACAAGTATGATTTATAGTCAAATATTTTGAATTAAACTTTTTACCATTAAAAGCTAAACTAAAATCAAATGGATTTAGCATAATATTCATAAAAGCCAGCAATATAAAAATGATTTATGTCAAAGATAGAAAATAAGCAAAAAGAAGGTATTAGGTATCATTCCATCCTAGACTACTAGGCAACCCCAGAATGTATCAATAGCATAGATTAAGATTAGGTATCTACCTAGTATTCATTGTTCTCATGATCCTTCTGAAGTCTTCCTTCCAAAATTTAGTGACTCAAAACCAATAGGCTATTTTGATGGAAGATACATTGAGGATATACCCAATTGGCTTACCTAAATCCTTGCTTTCTGTCAAAAGATTCTGTACTATTATCCCCAAATAAGACTGTTTTCTTTCTCAAAAGCACAGATCAGAGATGGAGGAAGGGCATTGTTATGGATCTTCCTAAACACTTGCTTGCCCTTATAACCATGACTATATGAATAAGGAAACAATTGCTGGTATATCCCAGATCTACCTTCCCTCAATGATTAAGCTGAAGAAACTACCATGATTTACCAAAGAATGATATTGTGGTTTTGTGTACTTGTGTTCTGAGTTGCTTAGGAAATGTGATGGACTACTTCTACAAGGGGGAGGTAATTTGATGGACTGCAGTTATCAGGTTCCCAGGAAGAAGGGAGCATATTCCAAGAAGGGAGGTGATACAAGAGACAGCACAGTCCCAAGCTGGGTCATGTGAAGTAGAAGATATTTAGGATAACCATTCCATAGAACTTTGCATAGTATATCTATTAGGTTAAAGCTAATATAAGTTTAGTCTGGCAAGATTCTGTCTCTATGGTGTAAGCAATAAAGAACTGGCTGGGTTTAAAAATTACATACAAAATTATTACATTGGGATTATAATTCATGTATACTGATGGGAGATTGGAACGGAGTGTTAGACCCTAGTATTGATAAGAAAAGAATAGTACAATCTACAAAATTGCGATCTAGACTGCCTAAGACTTTTTTTGATATGATGGAGGATATGGAATTAAGAGACATCTGGCGTGAAAGGAATTATAGAGAACAAGATTTTACATTTTTTTCAGATAGACATCAATCCTTTTCAAGAATTGATTTTATATTAATTACAAATGATTTTTTTTCCAGGGTAAAGAAGATAAAGATTTGTCCCAGAATTTTAACTGATCACAGCCCAGTTTGGATGGAACTGGAGTGTGGGGAAAGAGTTAGGAGATCTTGGCGGTTAAATGAAAACCTTTTCAGATATGAGAAAAATGTAATAGAATGTAAAAAACTAATGAAGGAATTTTTTGTTTTTATTATGAACAAGGGAACATCTATGGATATGGTATGGGATGCTAGTAAAGCATATATGAGAGGAGTTCTGATAAATATGAATAATGCTTATAGGCGTAAACAAGTGGAGAAAAGGAGGGAATTAGAAGAAGAGATTAAGAAAAAAGAAAGGGTGTTAATTGATAACCCAGGGGATAAGAAAATTAAAGAAGAGATCAGTTTATTACGTGGGCAATTTAATATGATGCTTTCAGACCAAGTGGCAACCAATCTACAATATGCTAAACATAATACTTTTTGTAATGCAAATAAACCAGGTAGATGGTTGGCATACATGCTGAGGAAAAAACAAAAATCTCGTACCATAGAGAAAATAGAGTATAAAGGTAGAGAGCTGTATCACCAAAATATGATTAAAAAGGCATTTTTAGAATTTTATGCAAGATTGTATACTGCAGACAAAATACAAGGTGTAGAGGTAGAGACATATTTGGATAGACAGAATATTCCAATAGTTACAGAGGAACAAAGAGAACGGTTAAACCAATTAATAACAGAGGAGGAGATCCTCTCAACAATTAAACAGTTAAAAACTGGTAAGGCTCCTGGTATGGATGGATTAACAGCTGTGTACTATAAATATTTACAATTGGAGATGGTTTTACCTCTTAAAGAATTATTCAATAGAATTCAGCTGGGTGAAGGGGTACCACCTTCATGGAAAACAGCTTTTATTTCGTTAATTCCAAAAGAAGATCAAGATTTGACACAACCCAAAAATTATAGACCTATATCCTTATTGAATACAGATTATAAAATATTTGCTAAGATATTGGCAAATAGGTTAATGCTAGTAATGCAGAAGACGATTCATGCTGACCAAACTGGTTTTATACAAGGTAGACAAATGAAAAATAATGTAAGACAAATTGTTGACATATTGGAACATTTGGAAAGGAATAACCAAATCCCTGCGGTGCTTATATTTCTGGATGCGGAAAAAGCTTTTGATCGATTAGATTGGCAATTTTTATTGAGAGTGGTCAATAGGATGCAATTTGGGAATTGCTTTATGCAGTCTATAAAAGCAATATATCAGGAACAGACAGCTCAGATAATTATTAATGGCAGTTTGACAGAAACTTTTAAAATTGAAAAAGGCACGAGGCAGGGATGTCCCTTATCGCCATTATTATTTATATTAACTTTGGAGTTGCTGTTAAATAAAATACGTAATGCAGATGGGATAAAGGGAATCAAAGTTAGAGATTATGAATATAAGATACGGGCATTTGCAGATGATTTGGTTATGACCTTAACTTATCCAGTGGAATCAGCAAAGGTTTTGATTGATATAATAAAACAGTATGGTCAAGTATCTGGGTTTAAGATAAACATTGGAAAAACAAAGCTGATAGTTAAAAATATGACAGCTAATCAAAAAGAGGAGTTACAAAGGGTAACGGGATGTGAAATAGTTAAAAAAGTCAAGTATTTAGGAGTTTATATTGCATCTTCTAATGGCAAATTGTATAAGTATAATTATGAATTGATATGGCATAAAATACAAGTTGAAATGGATAATTGGAAAAAACTACAATTGTCCTTGTTGGGTAGAATAGCAGTTATAAAAATGAATGTGTTGCCTAGGTTTTTGTTCCTCTTTTAAATGATACCAATACTAAAAAAGGATGCCAACCTGGAAGAGTGGCAGAAAGGTATTAATAAGTTCGTATGGCAAGGTAAGAAACCAAGGATAAAATTGAAAATAATGCAGGACATACGAGAAAGAGGAGGACTGAAAATGCCAAATTTAAAATTGTACTATGAAGCAGCTGTTTTATCAGCAATTAGTGATTGGATTAATTTAACAAATGGAAGGATATTGAATATTGAAGGGTATGATCTGGTCTATGGTTGGCATGCTTATTTAGTGTATGAAAAAAGGGTGGACAGAGCATTTAAGAGTCATATACTGAGAAATGCTTTATTGCGTGTCTGGAAGAAATATCAATATAAGTTAAATGAAAAAATACCTATATGGACAGCACCCAGGCACGCAATAGAGAATACGAGTATAGAATGTAGACAGGATGTAATTACGTATAAAGATATTCTCATTATGGAGGGAGGTATATTAAAATTAAAATCTGTGAATGTGTTGAAAGAGGAGAAAATAATTCAAACATGGTTTCAATATGTACAATTACAAGCCAGATGGAGAAAAGACCAGAAAACTGGTGTTATACAAAGTGATGAAAATTTAATTAAACAAATTAGAGATCAAAGCCCAATGCATATAAAAAGATTGTATAATATACTGATAGAGATGGACTCGGAAACAGAGCTAGTTAAGGACTGTATGATAAAATGGGCGCAGAATTTTGAACAGCCAATAATGATGGAAACGTGGGAGAAAATATGGGTAACAAATGTGAAATTTACCAAAGCGCAAAATTTAAGGGAGAACTTTTATAAAATGTTTTATAGATGGCATCTAGATCCAAAAAAGTTATCTCGTATGTATCCGAATGTACAACCAAAATGTTGGAGATGTAATTGTGAGGATGCTACTTATTTTCACATTTGGTGGACATGTAAAAAGGTTAAAGCGTTTTGGATTAAAATCTGGTGGATTTTACAAAATATTCTTAAA